AAGATCGCCCCCCGCGGATCCTCGTACGGGGCCCTCTTCCACGCGATCCTCGTCCTCGCCTTCCTCCTCCCCTTCGTCTTCATCCTCGCCGCCGTCGTCACGCTCGAGGGGGTCGACAGCTGCTCGTCTTTCGGTAACCGAAAGTCTTGATGGAAATGAATCTTGTGTTTTCAACTCTGATGAGGCACTGGCAGTTTGCTGGGCTTTAAATTTGAGTTGATGAATTTGTTTGAGCTGTAAATTTTCTCCTATACCTGATGGATTTGGCATCCTGAGTGGATTTTTTTTTAATTATGCCCGATTAATTATGTGAAGCTAAAACTGTTCTGGGATGGGGATTCTCATAATCTCGAGTTCTTCTTATTCTTGTAATTTTGTAGTGCTTTCTGTTTGGCGATAGTCTGCTGGCAATTTTCTATTATCGTATCTTTCAGTTAGCTTTATTTTGGTAGCAGCATCTAGGTTCTTTGGACTAATCATATAAATTTATTTCTGTACATCTAATGTTTTAATCATATTAATTCATTACCTTAGCATAGGATCACAAGATTTCGTCGAGGAGCTGCTGTACATTGTTTTGTTCTGTGCTTCTTTCGTGCTTGGATTTAACTTTTCATGTCAAATTCTGTTCTTTTAGTTTCTGGTTGTTATGAACTATGTTGACTACCGGTTCTTTGATTCCGTACTTTGCCTGTTGTTTGAATGCGTACTACTTTGTAAGCCAGTTTTTTTTATCTGTAGGAATATTCAACTTTACCTGGATATTTTTTTTTTTTTTGTGTTGTGTCATATATACTGATTATTAACCTTTACCCATTTAATAGTCTTTATGATATCCTGCAATTTTTAAGGTTTTTATCATCTTCATATGACATTATCTTGTGTTCTCATTGAGTTGGTTTTTATATGGAACTTTGCTGTTTACTAGGGTTCCTTTTCCACATCTAAGCTGGCAGATTAATAATGTAAATTTTTTTTTAAGGCTAACATACATATCTTACAAAATTTCTCTTTCAGATTGTTTGGGAAGGCGGCTGGGACCAAAGTTTCTCGGTAGAAGTAGAGACAATTCAGCGGTGAGTTTTTTGTTTCACTACACTTAATTAGAACTTCCAAATTGTCCTTAGTAAAAAAAAACTTGGCATGTTTTTATTAAGGACTTAAATGCAATGGTCCTTATCCTGGTTGATTGATTGAATTTTTAACAGAGAATTGTAAGAGACTTGTATAAGATATTTGAAGAAGTAAACCTTGTGGAAATTCCGGTAGGAGTCAAGTTGCCAGAATCGTTCACTGAGTTTATTTCTGAAATGAAGAATGACCAATATGATGCAAAGACATTTGCTATATAATTAAAGGCCATGGTATGCAATCATCTGTGTTTTCTTTAGTCCTTTCTTTCATATATTATGACTGACCATTTTAATAGTAAAAAGGGGTGTCAGGTCACACATATTCCTAATCGTTTTGATTCTTTTTCTTCCACCTATTGAATACTGCACAAATTAGAGTCTCACCTACACAAAAATTATATCTACACAAATATTATATCTTATAACCGAGGAAAAGAAAAATAAATTACCAAATTGGTACTTATTTCAACCCTCTTTACCAATATGGAACATTAATCAGCTCTAGCTACATTTAAGTATTTAGACATTAACATCGATGCAACAAGGCCCATTTGCTCACTGCCAGTGAGAAATTGTGTACGCAGCTCTCGCATGTTTGCACGTGATTGGATTTTTTCTTTTTTAAATGCTCATGTTGCAGAGACTTAGTGACATGGCCAAGGTAGTTGCTAGTTGGGATACCTTTGATTGGGGAAGAAGATTCAAATTAGGGAAAATTTTGGATGTGATCTAAAATTAAGATTTTTAGAATGGAGGCAACCAAGAGAAAATTGACAAGGGAACTCAACATTGAGTAAATAAGCTATGAAATTCATTGCTGAAGCAAGGACATCATACCATCTTCAAGCTCAAGCTCGTGTTTAAGGTCAAGCAGCAATGCTGGAAAATTTGAATTGTAGGCAAGGAATGAACATGGTTTCAATAACTTGACATGCATCTAAAGATAGAATGAAGCAGCAAAGATCGTTGGATCAAAATTTAGGGGATTTGTAAATTTGGGGAATTTAGGATTAGTTAAATCACCTGCAACGTCATTAGTGGAGATCCACATAAGCACTCCATGTCTAACGGGTTTTAAGAAATGGATATGAAGTTTCCAGGTATCAGATTCAGACATGTACTTAATTATATGATATAATGATATCTGCATATTAGTCTATTAGATGTTGCTACCATTGTAGTATCTTTGTACATAGAAGAGAGGGAGATAGGAAGGGAATTCTTCAATGAGAGTGCAAAATCTTTCTACCAAAAACTCTAATACCTCTTTTCCTCTAATCTAAACCGCCTTTTTTTAAAGATAAAAGGACAAATTTATCTAATTTACTATCAATATTATGAATGTTCTTTAAAATTCTATTAAGTGACTACTCTTTTTAAGAAATGAGTAAATTATACGAATCTACTTCACTTTACTAAATGTAGGAAGTCTTTCTCTTCTTACCCATCGAAACTATTTCTCAACTATTTTGTGGCCTTAACAAGCAAAATTAGTATTGCAAGATAGGTTCTAGGATGTGTTATGAAGAACTATGCAAACTGTTGTAGAAGTTGAGATAAAATATAGAAAAAGAAATTTTGGGGGAGATTGTTATAAAATCCTTGTCTTCCCAAACTCTCTACAGTACTTTGCATACTTAAGATGCATATTTCCGACACCTCTAATTTGCTAAGGGGTTTTCTTCTACTTATTGAAAACATCATTTAGATCAGCAAAAATGTTTCTTAAAAAATAGGTTCTCAATTATTTTGTTTTCAACCATTTTTAGGTATTTTGAATCTTTGATGTATATACCCCATATCTATCATATTTTTAAATTTATCTCCCGAATCGATTCACTTAGAATGTAGATTGTAATCCAGTGATTTCTAACCAACGAGAAATTTGCCGCTTTATCGGATTTACATCTATACATCGGGACAAATCAGCCAAAAACGATATGTGATAAATTTTTACAAAAATCGTAATGACCATGACCCAAACCCTATTTATCAGCGATAAATGGAAAAAATCAACCTATTTTTAGAACACTGGGTGCAAAGCAAAGAATGTGAAACTGTTGGATCTTGAAGAGTATGTATCCGCTCCTGAAAACCCAATGAATAGCAATCAATAGTGCAGGTTGACAAGGATGGACAGAGAAGTTTCGACTTTGTTTGGTTTTCTACTTTGTTGATCGGTACATGCTTTAATAGTCTAATACTCTAGGCTAATGGCACGAAGTCAAGTGCTAGCCTAGATTTTCCAGTACGACGAATGCTTTCCATTTAGTTTCGTCCCCATATTTGTCTTTGCTTCTTTTTGTGCTTCTTTAGTGAAGTGGAAGCTGAAGGCTCGTTCAAATTTGGCTCTTTTATTTCAAATAACATGCTTCTCATGGTATCACCAAACAGACCACTAGATGTTCACTCCGTCTTCATTAGGAATTTTTTGATTCCAATTCAAAGTGACTTCGTCTTTGATGGAAAGAAGGATGTCTTTTCAACTCCCGGAACTGTTTGCACCGTATGTCCTAATAAATAAAATTATTAAAGTATCCAAAGTTGGGAATAAATTCTCTGTGTTCAAGATTGCGTCTTAAGCTCCCATGTCTGCCCAACGATAGTGGTGGCTCATCACTTGAGAATGACTACTATTTTTTAAGTGAGATGGTCATTTGGGAACATGTGTCAAATCAGGTACCATAGTCAAGAATGAGTTCAACTAAATCAGCGGTCATACTAGGTACCATAGTAAGAATGAGTTTATCTTGACTCTAAGAGCCCACTTGAGTATCTCTCTCTCTATCTCTCTCTTTTTGGTCAATAAAAAAATATAGATGTAAATCCGATAAAGTGGTCAATTTCTCATGTGTTAGAAATCACTGGAATTTCTACAATCTACATTCTAAGTGAATCGGTTCAAGTTTGGAGATAAAAACCCTCTTTTTCCATACCTAACCCGTATCCACTAAACAAAAACTATGTTATCCTATTCTAGTTCACATCCACTCATTGTGTAACCCTAATTCTCTCTGCCTCCACTGTTCTCTCTCCCAAATCACTTGCAAATTTCTCACTTGAAGACCTCTCTCAACGACCTTTCTCATGGAGCCCCTCTCGATATTTCATTAAATGTGCTTCTCTTCTCTATCTCTCTCTCTTCTATATATATTATTATATATATTATATCTTATATATATATATATATAATATATATATATATATATATATTATAATTATATTATCTATTATATATATTATATATTTATATATAAGAAATAATGGGTGTAAAGAAACTTTGGTACCAAGTATTGCTTCTAATCAACTTCCGTAGTGATTGTGGCGCCTAATCTTGTCCCTACATCTAACATTCGGACGTTTTGTGAATGGTTGGTTGAGGCTCTATCTTTTCGAGGTGTTTATGTCAAGGGTAAGATTAGCGCCCATCATTCTTACTACCAATTTGTTGCATTTATAGCCAATCTTTGGGGTACAAGGTCTTCTCCCATTTCCTCTCTTCTCTCTCTAGTACTTTCACTATTAGTATTTTATTATATTATAATATTATTATATTAATATATTATTATTTACATATTATAATATATATTATATATATTATATATATATATTCAAAATATTTCAATGTTACAGGTTATTATAGCGTTTAAATTATAATATATATATTATATATTATATACTATATATTAGTGCGATTCAGTATCATTATCATAATATATATAATTATAATATATTATTATATATATATATTATTTATATTCAAAATTATTTTCAAGGTACAGGATAAGCGTTTAAATAATAGAAATATTATCCTAACTCTATTAGAAATATATCAGAAGTTAAGTTGGGAGAGGGAAAAGTAATGGATTTGGGATGATTTGTAAGGGTGAATAGGTAGATATGAAGATTTTGTTTTTTTGGGTTGGGGGGTGTAAACCAAAAAATGTGATTTTTAGGGGTTATATAGGTGAGAAAAACCCTTATTTTTATTTGCAAATAAATAGTTGCTGAGTTTTTAGGGCTGCTATCAATCAACCTGACATTAATCCTCTTTGAGGTATCAATTCCTAGCCATGGTAATTAATCAGCATAGCATGACATTGCTATATAGAATAGTGATAACCACGTGGTATGTAGCTACATTTAAAATTTAATTGTGTAGTTCTCTCGTATAGCAAGAAAGATCATATAGAAGTTGTAAAGTGATGTGATTTGTCATAGAGAATAACATTCATTAGGCACAAAATAATGAAAGAAGAAGGAAATCATGTTTCTCTTTGCTTTTTGCTGGTTAAATACAACAACTTGCCATTCATCCCTTGGCACTTTTACTTGATTTGGTGAAATGCTATGGGTTAGTTTTCACAACTAAATTGGAAATTATTGTTAATAATTATACAATTTTTATGCAATGTCCCTAGTAGATTATTAAACATTTGATGAACTAGACTGCTTTAGATCTTTGATTTTTTCATGGTCATGTAAATTGCATTTTGCTTTCTTTGTCAAAGAATGCAGATTAATCAGTAGATTTCTTACTTTGAATTGAAAGTGATCCTTTACCACAGTGTAATTTTCTACCTCACCTTTGACAAATTTGAAGTGAAAAAATATCTGTAAGATCTATAAAAAGAGCTAAAGACCTGCTTGCTTTCGCCGGACCTGCCTGTTTCAAACAATTTCCCGTCAGTGGGGTCCACAAAACGCTACAGCTCTCACAATTTTAACAACAATTGGAGAGCCCCATAACAGGTTGCGGTTCTCATGATGTTGCACAAACACTGGTGAGGCCCACAGGTTAAGAAAAGTAATTTATTAAAGTTTACATAAAGAACAAAGTCAAGTAAGATTTTCAAGTTACCAAAGTCCAAGACCCATAGACTTTTGGGCTTAGGTTTTGCTTGGGCCTAGACAAGGAGTTGATATATTTAGATAAATAATAATGCACGTGAATTGTACGTGTGTACAAACTTCGTTTTTCTCATATGTTATTTTTTTAGCTTATGTGTCTTCAATTGTTCATGTTTCTTCTAGCTGCCATATAAAAGTTGGTATTGAAAGTTGGGTCTTTTTAGCTTATGTATCTTCATGTTTTTTCTATCTTTCATACTAATGTGCACCCCGTGCAAAGCACGACCCTTTTTTTATTTTCGCTACAATAATTCTTTTTAAATGCTACAGATTTTTTGTAAATGCTACAGTATTCTGCTTTGTGCTATAGCAGTATAGCT